TAGAATATTTTATTTTTTATTTGTGAATCTATATTTTATGAATTCCATCCGAAATATTTCTTTCTTAAAGCTTATAAATTCTAAGCAATCGTATGCCATTCTGCAAAATATAAAAATATAAATTATAGAAAATGCATATAATGCTAAGGCCACTGCGTTTTAAATCCTCGTACGAGTTTGCAGCAAAACAGATTAGCGCTATTTTGTTTTCAATTCGGAACACCATTGCCTAAGTCCCATTTTAACATTTTCCTACTAATACTTTTACTGCGGTTTGACTGTTTGAAATATTCTAAACCATCAAACACGAAGGGCGAAACTATTCACATATTGCTTCAGCGAAATCTAATAAAAATAACCATTAAATTATCTTCACTAATATCTGCATTCATGGATAATTGGCGTTTGCGCTCTTGGGCGAACAGTATGCCACGTTCTCGAGTGCCCTCATTCCTGGTATTGCAGTTGGGAACAGGTAATGGACCTTTAGAACAAATTATTATCAATTAATGATTAATGATATTAGTCTTTCTTAATGATATCAGTTTATTGTCTAGAATAATGTATTGATAACTGTAATTCTTTCAGAAAGATACACAATTTTCTGATCTAAAGGAAACGAAAAGGATAAGAAAAAAACATAAAACATGAATTATACAAGAAGAATTAATTCGAATATAATTTCAGTATATACCAACAATAAATAAGATATGCAAATTATTTTGATCTATAAGAAAATAAATAATGACTAACGTTCTTCTCTTGAGATAAATATCATTATTGTTCCTGAAATTGTGAATGAAATTTACTAGCAACTTTGGCAGTTTACTCATAAAGCCATAAAAATCGCAAAATTAGCCTTACCCATGTAAATAAGGTAAATGATAGCTGCGGATACAAATACGATACCCATTGAACAAAGTCACTGATAATGCTGATATCAGTAATAATACTAATCAACATATCGCTTCTAAAAGTTAGAAAAATTTTATCGTTATAATCGGATTATTGGAATATTCCTTTTTTCAATTTCACGGCAAACAGAATATTTTTCGATTTTTTGACTTTTATATTATATTAAAATAAAGTTTGTAATCAACTTGTAATCACATCATTTTTCATATTCTCAGCTCGGTATTTTAGCTCGAATCCGGTGGTTGAATATGCTTCATCAGGCAATGATCACCGAAAAGTATTAGCTTCTTCCGCAAAGGAGGAAGTTTTTTTCTTAAAATTTTTATTGTTTTAATTTTTATTTAATTTTAATTATTTTACTTATTTTTGAATTCTCTTTTTCAAAATGTAATCACCTTCATTTCATTGTCTTTGTCAGGAGCAAATATGTGATGGTACCAAAAATCAAGACAGCTGTGGGAGGCCACCTGTGTCACTATTTCCAAATGACTCTATGGTGAAAGAGTCAGGTCTCTTTGACGTGACGTCCCCTTCTTTTGAAGCTCATGATACTTCTGATCCGGTGGTACATATGATAAATGGACGATCCGAGTGTAATAATAATAATAATAATAATGATAATAATAATAATAATGATAATAATAATAATAATGATAATAATAATAATAGTGATACTAATAATAACAGTAATAATAAATAATAAGAGTAATAATAATAATAAAATAATATTAATAAATAATAATAACAATAATAATATTATAATTGTAGAATAAAGGATTGCTTGTAGTTTTTTTATGGCCAAAAAATTATTAATCGCCATAAATGTTGAAATATCGAATTACAACGTTTTGACCGCATTGTTATTAAATTTATTCAGTTTCTCATCCAACGATTTTAATGATTTTATTTTATATAATTCAGCGCACTGTTTACAATCTTTTAAAATCACTTCTGATTTGAAAAATAATTTGAAAAATTTCGTAAAAATCTCGTTATTTTCAAGAATGATCCTGAATTACATCGCGAATCTGTTGCTCATAAGTGCGTAAGGCTCCCCATAGTTCCACAGATTTACTCGAATTGCGTTGAATTCTGCAATAGGAATATGATTAATTTGTAAAGATTTAGAAATATTGGCTTGATTTCTAGAAAATGGAGATAAAAAAAATAAATGCTATGATCTCGGAAAGAAAAATTATCGAGAACATTTGCACATATGCACGAGGAATTTCATGCGTTAATTAAAATTTTATGTGAGATAACCACCGGATGACCGCAAGTGAGAAATCTTTAAAACTTCAGGAAACTTAAGAAATATGCCAGGCGAATGGATGATAATTATAATATATATATAGGCAGTAGTTCTGCTTGTAAAGCCCTCAAATTTCTAACAGAACTGCAAGAAAGAGAGGAAAAGAGATTTAAATATGCAAATTTTGCAATTACAGTGTTGTATCAAAATGAGTTTCAAAATGGGGTACCATGATATTTAGTCTTGAAATTTTTCTATAATTTTATTTCTTTCGCTCACAAAGAAGATATTCGGTCCATATGTTATTCCGACTTTTCTTTGTTAAATATTGTTCTCCATTTTTCAGGTTTTCCATTTGTCACTGTTAAGACTTTCTATAGGGTTTACAAATGTTTGTAAATTTTAGATAAATTTGCGATTCGCATATTATTATTATTAAATTAAATAAAATGTCGTGATAAGCCCGAATATACCGTGGATAATACTGGCACACCACCGTCTGCATCGTATTGAATTCAGCATCATGCGCAGGACAATTTGCAGTTCCACAACCAATATAAGTTTTTTCCATGCTCGCCAGCTTAAAAAAAATTTTTCTTTATTTAGCCATTACATGGATTAAATTTCCACAAACATAATCTATGCTCATTCTCAATATAATATATTTACCTGGGCAAAGAAGTCGCTTTCTTCTAAAAATTTATGATGAGTAAAATCTTCAAAATCCGAGATATAATTATTCGAAGATCCGCTTTTCCACCACGCTTCAGCTGCTTCTAATATAAAAGACTCTGAAACATTACTTTATTTCGCTCAGCGAGAGCAGAATTCAACTAAAAAAAATATCAAGGGTACCATTAAACAATTTTTTTCCCCAAATTTTTCGACTGTCATCTATCCAAGTAATTTTTCGGCTTTCGCCAAGGAAAGAAGGCTCTTTCGAATGAACGAAGTCGCATTGTTTCGCCCGTTGCATTGCAGATAATTCCAAGAAGCAGTTCCATTTCTTAATTGTTATAAAAAAATTTGCTGCCATTTAAAATTTAAAGTTTGTATAGCAACGATAACCTACAACCCTTGAAGATATTGGAAAGTTTTCTAGAAAGTTTGAACAAGAATTTTTATTAAAATTGGTTATATGCAAATCTAAGGAATAAATCAATAAATGTATTAAAAAATTAACAAATCCAATGTCGTCAGTTCGGTCAAAAATTGTCCCACCAGCTTCCGAGATGGCATATTTAATTAGTTTTCGGAACCAATTGTATCGGTTGATGATTTTATCTTTAGTATTAGTCGAAATTACAGAATCCGAACAGTCTGAATGTTTTCTATACGATATGAACAACGATTTGAATCCTCCCAGAATTATAAACCAGCTTAATTAAAGTTGATTCTTTCAGGTAGGAATTTCTTAAGCTTAAAAACCTGGCACGAAAAAGGATTTATTTAAGGCTCATTATTTCGAAAATTGGCATAAATATTAGTTCGAAAAAATCTTTAAACGCTTAGGTTTTTGATAAAAAGTAGCTGAATGAGTAAAAGTTTATTAGATGAATTTGAGCTGAGTTTTTGGTTCAATGAGGGTTTTGGGTTAAAGTGACATTCACCAGTAAATGGTAACATGAAAGTTGGTGTATTTAATTTTGGCGTTGCCGTTAATTCTGTTGATGTGGATATTGCAGAAGGTTTCGATATAATCTTTGGTTCTTGGTAAGCGGAACCAATTGTTAATGGTGACCTGAATTTCTAAGGAGAATAAATAATTTATAACAGTTATAATACGGTTTGAAGATGGAGTATATATATATATTTTATTATACAAATAAATATGAAAAGTAAATATAGCTTAACTCTTATGTGAAAATGCTAAATATTGAAATATATACAAAAGCTATAAAAAATTTCCTGACGATTTAACCACACCCAATTCTTCTCAATTCTAACAAGATTTGATGGAGAAAACCTACCGAAGTTTGTAAAAACACGCAATGAGTTTCACAGTCATTCCTTTATTAGCTCCATCGGCTATTTGACAAAATTTTTGTGAACAACCAACTTCAGCGACATATTTCCATTTTTCCTGGAACATTTTTTAGCACGGTCACAAACTTTCCATGCATTACTGACTTAACTTCCAAGTTAACTTACATTATCTAATCCAATGTTTTCATAATATGTAATTGTATAAAATCCAGGAAGGAATACTTCACCATATACTGCAAAAAATAAATTCTCAAAATTTTCAATTTTTTTTCTTGAAAATTTTTGGATTTGCAAACGGCGAGAACTGGGATTCCTACTGATAAATAGCTCTTCCAATATTTTTAAATACTATTGAGTGGAAAAGCAACAGAGAACCTAAATAAAATGCATTTTATTGCCATTTTATTTTAACCTTACAATTGAAATAATTAGAATCAGCATTTTGCACGAGTGCTCCTCTGTTTTTCATATCCTTCGCATTGTGACATTCGTTGACATATCGAGCAGATATCTTTTCCAGTTCACAGCTCCATTTCTAAATTTAAAATATATTATATAAACATTTATTATCTTATATATATATATATATATATAATATTTATATAATATATTCATATATTTCATTATGAATTCTCGATTTTCAAATTTATATTTCATTAATTCAGTATCATCCGGAATATTTCTCTTATAAATTCTATGTCACCATACTCCAGTTGAAGTAAAATAAAATATGGAAAATGTAGTTATAAAATATAGAGAATGTAAATTATGAAGAGTGTATATTAGATATATTAGAATATAGAATATAAAAGAATGTGTATATAAACTGAGTATCAGATCATGGTGTGGGTTTGGGGTTGAATAGATCAATGACTTTTTTGCTTTCGTTTCGAAGTACGAATAGCTAAGTTCAATCAAGCTTTCGATTAAGTTTGTTTTTCAAACATCATACTAAACTCTGCCGTTTGACTGTTTGAAATATTCTAATCCGTCAAAAATGCAGGGCGAACATATTTAGATATTTCACCGAATAAAAATAACCATTAAACTATCTTCACTAATATCTGCATTCATGGATAATTGACGTTTGCGCTCTTGGGCGAACAGTATGCCACGTTCTCGAGCGTTCGCACTGCTATTGCAATTTGGAACAGGTAATGGACCTTTAAAACAAATTTCAGTTATTAATCCTTCATTAATGATATCAGGTTATTGTTTAGAATGATATATTGATAACTGCAGTTCTTTCTGAAAGACACAATTCTCTATTTTAAAGGAAATGACAAAGCATTAATCGAACATGAAGGCTTTATTTCAGTGCATACTAACAAAAAATAAAAGATGCATGTTATTTTAAGAAAATAAATATTGACTAACGTTCCTCTGTTGAGATCATTATTATTATTGTTCCTGAAATTGCGAATGAAATTTATTAGCAACTATTTGCCTATTGTGCATTGGTCCACACTCATATAACCACTAAAATCGTAAAATTTGCCTTACCCATGTAAATAAGATAAATGATAGCTGCAGTTGCAAATACGATACCCATTGAGCAAAATAACGATAATAATACTGATCACTTTTTCAAAGTCAGAAAAATTTTATCGTTATAATCGGATTATTGGAATATTCCTTTTTTTAATTTTTAAATTTCACGGCAAGCAGAATATTTTTCGATTTTTTGGCTTGTTTATATCATATTAAAATAAAACTTCTAATCAACTTGTAATCACATCATTTTTCGTATTTATATAGGTTAAAAGTGAGAATTGAAAAGTGATTCTCCACTCGATGCTTTAGCTCGAATCCTGCTGACTGAGTTTACTTCATCACGCAGTAATGATCACCGATTTTGTTTTAACTTTTTCTGCGAAGATAAAATTAAAACTTAGCAAATATCAATAAATTATTAATTAAATAAACAAGTTTTAATGAATTAATTATTTAACCAATTTAATCAATTTTTCGAACAATTTTTTGCAAAAGTATTATAATATGGCAAAATAAATGAACATCTGCGAAAATCGCTAAATCGAAATTCAAATTCAATGCTCTAGATGGGATATCGAAAACTTCAATGCTCTAGATGGGATACAGTTCGAAAAGGCCAGTGTATACATGTCGGGAAATCTTGAATGCGCAACAGTGGCTCAGTTGGCCAATAACATAGTACCATTGGATGATATGGTGATTCACAACAGAAGATTATTTCATAGCGTATTTTGTCATTTTTCATATCGTATCACCTTGTTCATTAAAACTCTGTAATGGTAATTCTGCAAGGAATCGCATCTCGATTTGATATTTTATGTAAATATAAAAGCCTTATTCTCGTATGAAATGAATATCATCACAAACAAGAAATTACAGAAGAAATCTCACTGATAATAATATCACTGCGATATTCCTATAATCCGATTGTAATGCGGAGGTGAAATCATACAGATAAAAAAGAAAACAATCCAGTGAGTGGTGCCACAGTGGCAATAATTGCTCGATGGGTTTCGGATTCGTTGCGTCTGTTATGTATTTTCTATACATGGGTAGGAGAATCGTTTTCATTTTGCTTCCTATATATAGCCATAGCTACAACATAAATTTTTAAAAGATTATCATCATACTTCATTGAAATTTCAGGAGCAGTGATATATTTCTTATCAAATGAAGAGCGTAAGTGATAATTTTTCTTTTGCAAGCAAAAATAACCAATTCACCTCGAACTTATTGTTGAAAAAACCTGCGAAATTAATGCCTTATGGATGTGACCAAAGCTGTTTAGTTTTAATAAGGCTGCTTAGCTGTTTAGTAATCTTAGTGAGGACAAATATTGATATAAATACCAAGAACACTTCGTTAAATAAGCAAATATCAAAAGTTTTAAAATTTAAAATTTAAATTTAAAATTTGAATTATATTATTTATTCTAAAGGGCCATTACCAGTGCCCAACTGCAACACCAACAAATTAAAAATGGAGCAACGTAGTTCACTCTTTGCCAATGAACGCAAGCACCAAATGTCGAAAACTGCTGCAATAGATGCCAGCAATCCAATGGTTATTTTTAAAAGATTCCAGCAAAGATACGAGAAAATATTTTTTTGGCAGATCGGAATATTCTGATTCTTAAATGAAATGCATGTAGAAGACAGAAGATTATTTCAAAAATTTAAAACAAAATATTGCTTATGTATTCAGAAATGGAATTGTGAATTAGAAATGATAGCCGAACAATATGCTGAACAATGCCAAATCGTACCAAATCAAACTATCAGCCAAAAATTTAATTTCTACTTCTATACTTTTGAGGATATAGGTGAGACACTGTTCATTATGAGACAAATCGAATAGGGTTTTGTTGAAATCTTCTTATATATCTAATAATGTGAAATAGTGAAATTAAGAGAATTTTTTAAGATTCCATTACTAGTCCGCTGGCTTGTCGCACTAGACAAATATGCCAGAAAGTCCCTTGGAGATAGATACAGGTGAGTACAGGTGAGTCGCCAGCACAACCCGAGTTTTTTAACAGGCTTACTCCTGCGAGGAATAGAACCTCAGCATCGGCGCTTCGAACTGAACAACAACCCATTAAGCCATTCTACTTTCATTGTCGTACAATTTTCCACCTATTTCAAAATTTTGAACTTATTTTTGCTATATTCGTTGTAAAATTAAATTTTAAGAATATTCTTTTTTTAGGTTATATGCCATTTGAAATTTATGAAACAGGAATATTAAGCGATGTTCACTATGACGAATTCATTGGACTAAGCAATGTGATTCATATTTCGGAACTTCTTTTTGCTAAAGTCAAATTTAAAAAATTAAAAAGAACTAAAAATCGTTTCAGGAAGAATGGAAATATATCTCTGAAGTTGGTTGTTCAGAGAATTATTGCGAAATACGCAAAAATACGAGTGTTTCAAGCGTAATAATGAAATTTATTGCATGTTTTTATATACTTCGGTATATTTCTACATAAATTCTTGTCGCTATTATTATAGTCTTTTAAAAATTGGGAAGAAAAATCAAAGATTTCATTTAATCATCTATTAGCATACTGCTAGCATTGTGGAACTACTTATATAATGTTTATTGCTAATCATATTTATTAATCAGACTCACCATTAAAAAATCTCTATACTTCAGTTCGCAAATTTTTTTCTGAAAATTACGAATACGAAATTACGAAAAAATTACGAACCCAAGTGAAAATGATGAATATTCTTCCAACATTACTATTTCATTATTACTGATTAGGTTCATGCTGGTTCCACAATAATACGTTTCCAAACTATTCGATATGATGGCATTGATGACAATGACAGAAACCATTCCATCGTCTAATTCCATAATTGCTGGTCCATCTAAAAGTTCGTATATCAGTCCAGGTATTGATAGCTCTTCCTCGCTTTTGAGCCATCTATCAAAAGATTTAGCAATCAACGAAATATGTATCACTGTGGTTGGCGATGAAGAACGCATCCCAACCAGCGATGATGAACCAGCTGTGATGGCATTATTTATGTTGATATACCTGAGCAAAGATGAAATTAATCATGCGAGGTTTTATTCGATCCGCAAAATGTATCCAACATGAATGGTCAAAGGAACATATCCTTCACTTATTGCTATGTTCTGGCTACTACATTATTTTAATGTTGATTTCAGACGGCTCTATAAAGGTTTCGCGAACAAGAAGAACATGTCTAGCTATCATTTTCAGAATTACAATTTTGCGCCTTCATTTGGTCTGATAACTGAAATATTGCAGAACTTTTCTTTGAAACTTTTCAAACATAGGCTATGGTCTCAATCAGGCCGACTTTTTTTAGATATGACAATTATTACTACGCCATTTTCCCTCGAGTTATTCGAAACATCACGAAGATATAACCAATCTCTTGTTCGGGACCAAGTTATTCAAAACCTGAATTGAGGAAGATTGGCCTCTGATAAGCAGGTGACATCCACATGATCTTTAGAAAGAGTTTGGACAGTTAGTGTTTGGCTTGCAATATCTTTAAGAGTTCTGATGCCCTACGCTGTTAATACCTCGCACACATACAGAGAGTCGAGTCAAGTCGTTTTCTTCGTAAATTTATCGAGCAAACTTTGGGATTATTTTGTCAGGCCAGAATTGTGCGTTCATCGCATGTACTACCAGGCTGTGGGCATCACGTATATTAAGGACAGGTCTTTTCATCATAATTTCATGTTAGAATTACAATTGGGTTCCTAACAGCCACTCGTATTTTTATCATCATGACAGGTTTATTCCTATCAAAAACAAAGAAAAAAAATTGAAGGAGTAAAACAAGATATGAATTTAAAAAAGTTTAATTTAAATAAAAAAGAAGCAATTAAAGAAGCAACTAGCACAAAAATAAAAATAGATAACTTTTTCAAAGACAAATTTTTACTTTTTTCTCATTTTTTCTTTTTTTCCCATATTATTCTCTTTTCTTAATTTTATACCTCTATTTTTGGAAAATTTAATTTTTGGCATCTTATTTGAAAATGAGTGCTAATTGCTAATCCCCCTACGAACTATGATAATATGCTTTATCATGTAATCATATGATTTGCTTAAATATTTTATTTTTATTTGCAAACATAGATTACCGACAATTGTTGCTGCTCAAAGCTCAACGCTCTCATCCACAATTTTTGGACCAATGGAATCAGCAAAAATATCTCCCAAATTGCCATTTGCCGGTGAATTCCTCTGCATTATTGCACATACACTATTTGCCATAGGCAGTATTCGTATCTTTCTTCGAGAAATGATTCTTTTTGAATTTTAAATACCGGAAGCTATTGCTTCATTCGCGTTTCACCTTATAGTTCATTTCAAAAATTTTTCAGAATGTAAAAATTTTGGCATCTCAGAAAATATTAAAGACAAAATCGTCAATCGATATATTTGGTTTAGAAAACTAATTGCATATGCCATCTCGCAAGCTGCTGGAATAATTTCAGACAAAACTAACGACTTCGAATTTGCGAGTTTTTCTTATTTATTGAATTTTAAGCACAATTAAAATTTAGATTTTAGAATTAGAAACTTCTAATTCAAATTTTTTTCGAACTATATTAATGGAAAATTTTCGAATTTTTTTTTTAGAGATTTTGCATTTATTACATTTAATATTTTCATATGATAAGCTTTTTTGTCGGTTAGCTCATAGGAAAAGCAAAAAGTGGCAGTTTCTTGAAGTAATATCTACCATTAAAAAATGTTAATTAAAGAAATACGGAAAATTTTAGATATGGAATTGCTTTTTGGAAAAATCAGCAATGCAGAGGGCACAAAACTGTGTCCTAGCAGAGTCAAAAGAGGCTTTAGAAGACGAGCTCGGTGAAAGCCGAAAAATTCTTTGGAAGAACAACAAATTGCATGATGGTACATTTAACAAAATTATAAGAAGGTGGAAAACATTCTACCATAGCCTAATATAATGCTACAAATATAAATATATAATGCTATAGGCTCGATAATAATAGAAGCAGTTGAATCATGGTGGAAAAATGCGTCTTACGAAAATTTTGAAGAATTATCTCGCGGCAAGCTTACAGAAAATCACGATTTCTTATCTCAGGTTGAATACAATATTTCATACCCGAGCGAATTAACTTGATGTTCTAAAAATCAAGAAAACCAAAAAATTTTAAGTTAGCGAGCATGGAATCTACTCAGATTGGTTGTGGAATTGGAAATTGTCTTGCAAACCATAGTGATTTTGGTGTGTATGCGATTGTGTGTCAATATTATCCATGGTAATTTATTTTGAATTTTTTCAAGTTTTTTTGAAAGAGCTCAAAATTTCTGATTAGAATCACTCCTCTGGTTCGCTGGATTTTTATCAGCGAGCCTCTTGGAAATTCAGTATTTTCACTAATATGGAAGAAAAGTGCAACATAATTTATTATTTCTAACCTGCGCAAGAAAATAGAATGGAATGTTTTTCTCATCATAAAAAGTTCTAATGAATCCATAATTTTTTGGCAGAAATTTTATTATTTTTATTATAGTGCTCGATAAATAAGCGATTTTTGCAAATTATATTCTTTCCAATCTTTCCTTCCTCAAATTGAGCTATCTTAGCTACCTTAAGGATTTCTTGTCGCTTTAACAATTATACTAACTTAAGAAGATCACCAATAAAAAAGGAAATTTATCTTCATTAAAATAAAATTTTGTAGCATTTTGCACTTATCTGGAAGGCAATTAATGCCTCATAATGCCTTATCGATAAAGTAGTTATCAGTGCTTTTATTATAGGAATCGGCGCAATACTAACAAGTCTGCGGAATTACAGCGCGTCTATGAAGTTTATGGAGAAAAGATTCATCAAATAATAAGAGAGCATTCGTGAGAAGCTCAATTATTATTTAAAAAACTTGTTGCGAAATTTTGCTTAATAAATTTTAATAAACATAAATTAATAACTAAATAAATTTTAATGAATTAACAATTTAACCTACTTAATAAGCTTTTTGAAAAATTTTTTGCAAAAATGTTATGATATAGCAAAAAATAAATGAAAATCAGCGGAAATTATCAAATCAAAATTCGAAAATACGCCAGATGGATATCGGAAGCAGCAGTTCGAAAAAACCAGGATAGCCAAGCCGAGAAATCTTGACTGTGCAACATATTGGAATGGCATTGGAACATGGTTGGAGAAGGGTTCTTGAGCAAACGACAACTAGCGTTTGGACTTCTTCGTCAGAATACCATAATTGAGACAATAATCGAACGAACCCACATGATGATAGTGCAGTTGTTAGAGCTCATGAAAATTTCCTCTCGCAGTGGAGAGAATTCTTTGAATTTAAATATTCCTACGGTGCGCAATACTGAATATTTTAAAAAATATTCTTAATTCAAAGGCTTGTTAATTTCAAGTAAGCAAAACAATAAGGAAAATAAATTATCGGTGTTAAATTCATTAAAAACTCAGTTAATTTTGTTTCAAAAATTTGTCATAAGCAGTGAAACTTGCTTGATGGAAATTCTTTTTCGAAGCCTAATTATTACATAAATATCAATTGCATAAATCAGTCATCCAAATAATATAAGCACTAAATATAAAATTCTAAATTCTGCTAACGTTAATAGCCATTTGTATATAAAAGTTGTCGACTGTTAGGATAAAACAAAACAATTTGTCAGGCAACCACTTGAGGAAAAAAGTCTGGTATATTTCGTTAATACGAATTGCAAAATATCTATAGAATTCAGTGGTTACACAAAGAAGTAATAAAATGCAAAAGTTGAGATTATTTTTGAGAGCAAAAAAAATGAAAACATTATTTGGAAGTACGAAGTTCGAGTGAAGCAAAAGAAAATAAATTATAGAATAATTTCACATAATTCAAATAAATATTGTTCTTCTTATTATTATATATTCGCAATGAATTAACTATTTGTCTGAATTAATTGATTATAAATATAAATCTCTCCAGTTGCCGAATATTGCTAATAAAACATTTGGTGAAATAAGTAAAAGACACATAAAATTTCCAGCCAGGTTTCCTCTTTTTCTTCCTTAGTTGCTAATGCAGTTAGAAATTTTAGCCACTAAGCCATAGAAGAGGTACAGATGATTCGTTAGTACTGTTTGGATGTTTAGCAAAAGGTCCACTCCCATCATAAATAGAAGGCCTTTCCCTGTTTATAGCCTTTGTACTTTCGGCTGCTAAATTTTTGGAAAGACAATGTTAATTCGATAAGATAATAAAGTAATTTAGAGTTTACTTGCTATGTTCGTGATCATGGAAATTAACTAACGGGTAGAATTTCTCGTGCAGTCACTAGTTATGAGCATCGAAAATTTTTCTTCTCTAAATCCGAAAATTCCTTCCTAATTTCAATTTTTGGAAATTTCTCAATTATTACAAAATTTATTGCTTAATCACATTTCTTTTATAGAATTCAGCGCAATTCAAGCAAATTTACGGAACTATGGAGCGTTTTGCATTCTCATGAAGAACAGATTCGCGATATAATTCAGGATCATTCTTGAAAATAACGAGATTTTTACGAAATTTTTCAAATAAATTTTTTAAATCAGAAATGATTTTTAGAAGACTGAGTGCGTTATATTGTATAAAACGAAATTATTTAAATCATTGGATGAAAAATTGAATAAATTCAATAATAATGCGATCAAAACTTTATAATTCGGTGTTTCTATACTTATGGCGATTAATAATTTTTCCAACCATAAAAAAAAATATAAGCAATCCTCTAATCGCCATATTATTATTATATATTATTAATATTATTATTATTCTGCGCAGAATATTCTTACTACAGCATTTGAAAAAAAATCTTGAAAAAATCTTGAGATTTTTATAAATTTTCAATTATTTAAAAACCAGAGATAAATATTTCAAAAAATTTTTCAAAGGATGCTAAAGAGGAGCTTTAAAAGATTAATAATTTCTTTTTGCCTTTATGCCAGTCTTTTTCAATACCTTTGGCAATCTTATCTCTTTTTCTACATATGGTTCGAAATAACAATAAAACAATATTTTATAGAAATAATAGATCAAACAGTTCAGCAGTAGATATAGGTGCGTCGCTGACTCAGTGCAAGGTAATTTTCAGAAGGAAATGTCGTCTAATGAAGAAAGCAAAGAAGCACGGCTTAGTGGATCGGTGCTCAGCTCGGAGCACCGATGCTGTCCAGCAAAAATCTAATTGATGATGGCAAGTTCTCGGTACTTTTATCGCGAAGGATCTTTCTGGCACATTTATCTAGTTCACCAGTGTAGCGAGTATAACTAGTTATGCTCTCATAAAAAAGATTCAGCATAAAAATGGAAATTTGCACCAAATGAATCTCGGCGCGATTATCCGAATTTGGATGGCGTAAATGCTTGTCTTCAATTTAAATGAGTTATTAAACCGCGGTGAAAAGCATCTCTATGAGTTACGATTATCGAATAATGGAACGATGGGAAATTTGCATAAATATCGTATTGGAATGGTCGTAAGAATTTTCAAAAATATTTAATTATTTATTTAATATATAGTTAATAACTAAAAATATGAGAAGTTCCAAGCGTTTTATATTCAATCGCTGTTAGACGAGAATGTTGTTGTTTATCACTCTTTTCATGAGTAGTGATAAGCGTAATAATTTCAAGTTTGAAAATAAGTCATTGCGTCAAATTGTGATTTCGATTATAATTTTATACGGTGTTCGGTAGGAAAAAACTTTGGTCCACTCAAAGTTCTAAAATCATGCGTAATTTTCCTGCATGTTATATTAAAATATTATAAACACTTAAGAAAATGGATATTAAGGATATATTCCACTAGAAATATGACGTGACGGGACGTTTAACGTGGATTGCTACGTTTGCACGTGCTTCTCTCCATGGCACACGCAAACATTCAAAACTCAAGTTGAATTCTACCCTCAAGTATATAGTATATTTCTGGCGAAAATGGCAGCAATATCTCTGTTTTTTTCGGAAATAAATTTTAAAAAATGAATTTTCGCATCAAAGAGGTGAATATTCTCCTTCTTAATTTAATTTACTTTAATATATAAATATATGATATGGATTCAAACGGATAAATAAAAAGCAATTGTAAATTGATAAATTTTTCATGAATCCACACCATTTATAGTTAAGCTCGCTTCGCTGGCTAGCTGCATTGAACGAATGTTCCAATAGTCTAATTAAGGATGGAAGTTGACTTAAATAGCCAGCATCATCGAATTTTTCAAAATAGCTGGATTGCCAGGTTTGATATCATTAGGAATTCAATTCAATTAATTAGGAATTTTACTGGTTTAGTGAAGCAGCGTTGTCACCATTACTGGCTAAATTCGCTCTACTGGCATCTTGCGCTGGGCAATATGCCAGGGAGCCCTTTGGCGATAGAAATACAGATGAGTCGCCAGCATCATTCGGCTTTTTATTCACGTATTCATGTACACCTGTGGGGGGCCCCAGCACCGGTGCTCCCAACTGAGCAGTACTGACTCATTCTATCCTCAGTACGATGAATATCATTCATTTTTGATGATTATTAAAGCATATGAGTATTGTGAGTATGCAGTATTAATTTCTGGAAATCGTATAAATTATATATTTTTGTCATAGCTCTTGTAATAATCAATGGTTATCATATGATATCCCAAAACATTTTATTAAAATCTTTATCAACATTGTCAAGCTAACCAAATAATCATTTTGTAGCTGTCGCTGTTTATATATGTAGCAAGCAAGATGAAAATTCATATGACGATTCTTCTACTCATGTAAAGAAAATAAATAACGGTCGTAGCGAAACCAAAACTCATAAGTAATTATTATAAGCATTATTATTACTGTGGCACCACTCAGCGAATTGCTCTTTTTATGTTTAATATAACTTCATCATCGCATTACAATCGGATAGCAGGAATATTGCAGTGATATTGTTATCAATAATTTCATCTGTGAATAATCCGTAATTGCTATAAATAATTTGTAACATAATGTAACTCTGAACACTGCCATATCGAGCTGCAACCATCGAGTGGAATTACCATGATAGATTCCAAAATTTACTCAAAATTAAGAATAGTGCTTAATATTTAGAAGAAAATAATTATTGATGATATTCCAGTCGCTATCCTAATCGGAATTTCTCGCTTGTATGATATGCAAAAATATCGTCGACATCAATGAATTATCGCAAAAGCCCAAGCTTTAGCAATGCAACGAAGAAAAGATAAATATATCTTCCTTTCATACCTTCCTTATCATTATCTC